TCGCTATTGCACTGTAACCAAAACTTGTGTGGGATTGGACCTCGCATGTGGGCACTGTTTATGTCTTTGCACGACGTATATTCGCCAGCTAAGCTACGAAGTCAGTTAGGATTCTGTCCCCCCACCCATCCATCCATCCATCCATTCCAACACATTAAATGTCACTACGAAGTTTCTCAAACAATGCATTTGGAACAAATGGTGGTTTACTTTTTACATGAATGAAAACATGGTGAGATATGCAACTCTCTTGCTGATCGGTAGGCTTATATAATTCGTTGAGTGGTTGCGGTTACCCGATATGACACTGAGCAAACACTTCCGCATAATACTTTAAAAAAGCTAGGACTGTGTGTACTGTACAGCGTTGTGGCCAGCGTTCTTTCCCGGATTAGAATCCCACTGGTGTTTCTACTGTCCAGTTTTACATTTATGAGGATGTGACTATGTATGTTCACTGAGCTGTGCAACAGAGACTGTTGCCTTTACAATAACATGAGGTTTTCATTGTGAACTGGAACCACACAATATCTAATTTTATGCCAGCGGGGATGACTGAGTACACAAATATGAACTTAAATACAAAAAATGATTGCAGTTAAAGGGATAGGCTGTTAATTGATTGATATGTGCGGTGTGTGTATCAGATTTTAAATCCAGTCGTTTATTGAGAACTCCCTAAATATCACAATATGCGCAAGTCAGATGTAGACTGAAAATGCATGCGCCCCGTCCAATGCCAGACAGAGCTTTTTCTAGCTTGTGTCTCGGAAAAGCAAACATGATTCAACGACCACGCATCGAAATTGTGTCTTCTATGAACAACTGACTGCCCCTGTGCATGGGCTAAGTGCAATGTATGCACCGGGGGAGAGCTACCAGTTTGCCAGTTTGTATTCAGCAAGCAGACGGGTAGTCACGTGATTGAACACCTCCGGACACCGACTGATAAGTTAAATAACCTCCATATCGGAACTTGTATCTGATCCTACAAATACAAGATAACACAATCTTTTTTCATCATCTTTACCTCAAAGCAAATTACAAATTAAACCCGTTCCTAGAAATTTCAAATCTATAGTCACGATCTTTGAGCGCAAAGAAACTGATCGATTACTTTGTCACCATCTTCAACAGCATGATCTTTCCCAACCTCATCCGTTCAACTTGTCATTATCATCATCGTCATCATTCAAACCAGCGTTTGTGATAATGTTCTTTTTTGCCTTCCAACTAGAGTACAAAGGTGCCTCCAATTGACTAACAAACAGGTAAGCACGCCGTTTAACAGTATATCGATTTGATCACATTTTATTGATAAATGTTCTTCCAGGTATGACAATCAAGCCAGTGTTTTATTATCCCGATTGAAATATTCCAGCTTCCTATGCCATACTAATGAGGAACTCACTGGATAACACCTGCAATACACAGATCTAACAAACATCCATTGCTGTACCCTGAACGTTTCTATAATTTTCGTTGTCTTTGTGTCCGACGATTGTTTGATTCAACACTTTTCAAAAAACAGACAGCACTATTCCATTCTATCTGTAATCAACACACGGCAATCTGTACCCGTATGCACGAAACAGTTCTGGCTGATGTGCATCCGCCGTGTACGACAGGCACTCTCACCTGACATTCACCACTGTCAACCGCAATGCACTTAAAGCTCTATACAAACGTACCCCACGGGCGTTCATATTCTCGTGGTGTCGCATCTGTTTCACCTATTGCTTGACAGGAAACGACCGTCCGATGAAACGAAACGTATAGTTGCAAGAGTTTTTCTGTTCGTCAGCGCCACTATACACCATTGTACTGTACATCTATCTACCTGTTCAATCCTAAATGTGGACATTCACACCAAGTGTAATATTTAAACAATTTTCAGCTAGAAGCTCGTCCAAAGTGAACGAATAAAATGCGATCTCAACTTGACTCCACTTTGTACTGCATTAAAGGCGGACAGAGTTTCTGTCGTGATCTCAGAAAGTGTACTACGGATGCATATTTTCTCAGAATCTATCGATAAAGACGGAAATGTTTACGGACTTCTAAAATCAATTAGTTTGATTGATATTCTTAATTTAGAAGCACATTTCAGACGTCTTGTGCCCATTGCTCCTTCAATGAATGTCTTTGGTGCTTATGAGTGAGCCACAGAAAACCAGCTCACCTAGAGAACTTGGAAGCCCCGACTAATGCGCACAAACCGGCCCCTGAGTATTATATTTGTAATCTATACTGGTTCCAATTCGGCTCATGAGCGTCTTAATTAACCTTGGCTTATGAACTTCCTCTCAAAAATCTAACACTCGACTGAACCCGCCCGCGATCTTTATGCAGCATCTTCCTCCCACAGGGAGCAAACTTAAGCTAGTCCAAAGCATCGGTTTCGGATTCAAAATAAAAAACTGTTGGAACAACCTTGTTGCGTGATGTAAGCAATAGGCTTACGATTCTCAATCTATTTTCATAACCGTTCTTTTTCGACACACACTCTCTACCTGTTGAGTGTTAACAAAAGCGAAACCAGGGCAATCACGTGCTGTGAGTCAAATATTATTTAATGAAAAATAAAATCCGAGCTTATGAAAAATCATATAACAGGTATCTTTCAATTCTTTTACGTGAATGCGAGACGCACAACATTAGTTACTTCCTTTCTACCGCGCTCGCATTGTCTTTTTACACATTTTTGGTTTCTGACTGTAGCGAATTGTCCTCAGAATACCTGTTCAGATAGTATTTAATCTCACCTCTACGATCAATCTCATCCAAAATAAACGTACTACAAAAAATAGGCAAATTTTGAATAAAACGCATTTTTTCTGTAACCGGTTGAACATATCAGCAGTCGGAAACATCGAAAGTTTGTGTGATTTACAAGATGTTTTTCTTGATCTGGTAATTTTATTCACATACTTATGAACCTGTCACATTTTCTTTTATACTCCGTTTATCTAAAATTCTTATTGAGATTGATTTTGAAATGCAAACCAGTTTCCAGCCACGTCTTATTTGGGGATACTTTGACATTGTTAAACAAAAGTTTGCGCCTCATAATACCTATATCCCTGCGCGTCTCAGCGTTTGTGTGTGAAGTTATTGTTGAAACACCAGATCGGCATTGACTTGTCCAATATTTACACAGCTTGAAGAATCTGATTTTAACTAAACAGAGTATTCGGCCTTTTCACACGTATCTTTTTGGTAAACTGATGAGAAGCCGTGTTTAGTATCTAACGATAATTCAACACGTGTTCCAGGAAATTTTTGAGTCATCGTTTAGGCTAGATAATGCCCAACTGAGATTCGGAATTAATTGTTGATAGAGAAACAACTGTTTATGGGAAGCGAACTTAGACGTGTGAACACGTTTTCGATACAGATAGTGGATCTTTCCACCAATTTACTCAGGGTATACTTGTAGATGGCGAATGAGAAAGAGCGCACTAAACTGTGGTGCTCAAAATAAACCTTCATGAACATTTCGTCAGCTGCCTGGAGAAGTCTAACTCCAGTCCTGTTATTATTTTTGGAAAACCAGACACTAACAAAATGCATTGATTATAAGCAATGGAAAGATTTGGGATGATCGACTAAAAGCACCAGGCAGCTATTTTGTCTTGTTTCGGACTCTTTTGCAGTGCATACGTCTTGCGTCTCTCTCAAGACTAAAACCGCGAACATTTGGAGTCGGAACTTCAAACCATTACCCCCTGCCTAGTGAACAGTGGAGTAGATTGTTCCATGTCTGCGTTTCTTAAATCCCTAAACCGTTCGCATGAAGCAATGAAGGTGGCTCAAGCTTATGAGTTTGAAGTTCCGACCTGAATGTCGAGTCCTTACAAGCAAGCAAAATGTATTTCATGCTGACGTGTCCCAAACGGGACGAAACAGCTGTCTTGTCCTCTTTGTCGGTTATCACAAACATATCACCTAGTGGGGACTTAACGATCTCCCAAGGGGTGAACCCCACGCTCAAGGCCATCAACGCTACTTGTGGCCTGTGAAAAATCGGATGGATTATTTCGAGCTTGCCAATCGTAACTGTGCTAATTAATTTTCAAATGACGACTTAATTTGGAGGTTCTGCAGCTGAATGCGACTGTGCGGTGGGCGTATGAAACCACTCAATTCACATGGCAGCGTAATGCGGTTACAACCTGGTTCAGGCCACAGACAGGGATTTTTTGTTTCCAAACCGTGATCAGCAATTTACGCACCACACAAGACAATCTCCCCCGGGGTAATTTGCATTGCACAAGAATTTACGATTCCGAGGCACACAAACACGGTGATTTGCCTACCTAACCAAACTTGCTCTTTTTAAATCATTCAATCAAGGTTGTTCGATGGGAACAAAACTATACAAACACTATGAATGACTTAGTGCGAAACGTTCAAAACTGACTTCCCCGAAACACGAACTACGATTGTGCCCCTGGTAGCAATTAGGACGCTGCTGAAAACTTTCAACAAACTGGATGGAAGGCCATCACCTATCGATCCAATGAATAAATGAATTTAAAGTCGATCGATGCTCGAACAAGTGAGGAAAGTGACCACAAATCAACTTCAACCGATGGATTACGTTTAATTGTACCCAGATGAAAACAGAACATTTTATGGATTGCAAATTCTTCATAGCATTAGCGAATATGAACTCTTGACATTACTCGGGAAAATGAAAGTCTACGTGCAATGTTTCGCAGACGTTTATCTCCAGTGGTAGTCAGACATGTCACACATGCAGCCCCCTTTCAGAATCGCTGGCAAACTTATGATCGAGCATTTCCGAAACCTGAATATTTGTACACATTTATGGAATTGTTTTTTTCGGGTCAAACACCTTAATCAAGCAAATTTCCACGCCTAATGTGTTCACTTCAACAGTCCAGTTAGTTCCTCGATCCTTCTTACTGTTCTCTTATCGTTTGTCCACCCCACCCCACCCCTGATGTGGCAGCCAGTGAAAACATACATTAGAGTCACATTTTGCTCAAGTATAATACCTGAGAGAATGAAAACTTGTGACACAAATGCCACTAATGGGACGCAATTAGGATATATTGAAGAAATAAAACGTTTGGTGTTCGGTTTCAGAAAATGAGATCGGCTGATGAAGGAAACTGGGTGCTTCGTCGTGTTCAACACTACTGTTCTTCATTCCAGGAGCTTGTGCATTGACTGAAGAGAACAACGTCAGCTTCGTTGCCCTTCTTTCCGGTGAACATTAACAGCTTGAATTTGTCAAAGAATCTCACGCCAAAGGATCACACTAACCCCGTCCTCGATGTCATATCAGAATCTCAACACTATCCCCTTATCTGGTAGGGTATTTCTGTTTCCTGATAGGGTCTCTTGATATGCAATCGTCTAATCAGTAACAGGGGAAAAATATACCGATTATAAAAGTACTATTGTTATTGTTTTTCTCTCAATTATTTCATTGAATTGTCCGAATAATCCCTGAGCACATGGGTAGTGCTTTGAAACTAAGTCGAAAAACTGTAATTTCTCGGAATAGTTAAAAATTTTAAAAACACCTTACGGGAAGATGTGAAACCCTCAAAAGACATTAGTTAAAAGATTTTTGTCCTGCCTTGTGTAATACACTTGTTGATGTGAAAAATCAACACACCCCATAACAATGAACCGTGTCAAATCTCAGACTCACCTCTTTGAATTTGATCATGGCCTTCTTGATCGGCAATTGTGGAGGTATCCATGTAAATTCAATTTCTCGGCGATAGCAACTGAGAATAAAGTGTCCGGGAATCGCACGACACTGAACCGGTTTAACCACGAGTAATGCGGAAACCTCGGGATACGCGTGAAGCTCATTCGATCCATCATAGTCGGCATCATCCGCCCCTTCTGGGGGCATATCCGTCGTCAATTCGATCGGATCTGTCACATTTTTGCCCGATCTTTGTCGTTCCAACTCGTTTGTGATAGTCCGTAACGTAGTAATCATATCGTGTGTACTTCCGATTCGTGCGGGTACTACCAGTAGATTCACACTGATTGTATTGTTACCAGGATAGTTCCGTAATGTGGATCGTTCGGACAAAATCAATTGCAGTACATCGGGATCCGGGTATGTGTTTGAGGTCGGTTGATTCACACGACACGCGATCAACGAAGGTCGTTTCTCAGTTCGAGTAAAAGAATTGTCTGTGCTGTGTATCGATTTGGCTGATGAAGGGACAAACGTTTGGAAGATCAAAGTCTTATGGGCAGTTAACAAATTTGTGTTTTTGTGCTCGTAATCAATCCGTGATCAGGTCAATCAATCTGTTTTATCCGATACGACAGCGGGAGAAAACAAGGACAGTAACATGGTTCAAATAAAACTCACAGTACACTATCGGAGCAACTGAACTGCGTACATTTATATGTCAGACCAATGGCAACAGGAATTCGTACGGTCACTGACCACGTCACTGTGCGTTTTCACCGGGCAATGGGCGAAAGCACCCGCGCGGACGCGCACACGCACGTACGCACGCAAGCGCACACACGAAATCCCAACGGGATGTGGGACCACGTGATGCACAGTCTGTTCCCGAACCACCAATCGCGTTCATTCCCAACAGAAAAGGACCCCATCCATCCATGCAGTAGCACAAGCGAGGAAACAAGCAAGCGATGACAGGCAGACTGCAAGAACAACAACAACAACAACCACTCCCTGAAACGCTTCTGCGTGCGCACACACACACACACACGCACATTCACAGACCGATGTACACGCGTGCCCGCATTGAAGCGCCTTTCAGGCACGTGCGACTCGGTTTACTGGGATGAGTGCCGTTTGACGCCCATTGTCAAAAACAGCAAAAGGGCATACGTAACCGGAGAAAAAACACTGTTTCGCCTCGAATGGTCCATGTGTGTGTGTGTGTGTGTGTGTCTATATAACTGGTTTGTTCATGGTGAATGTTTGACCAAAGTGACCCAGTACATTTCCGGAAACAGAACGAGAGTGAGAGAAACAGAGGATATCGGACAATGTTATCTTTCCCTTGCCTGACCTGAACAATACAATGTGACCTGAATCTATCTAAAATAAAACCCGAGTGTCGGTTTTGCACAAAGTTAAGTATTCGTCTGAGAGCGGTGTCTCCAGGGCTGTGTACCCGGGCCACGGTTTCGGACGTGAACACGATTACGTTTGTGCATGAATTAAAGAACAAAGTGACTCAAACAAACGGTTCAGTTGTCATTTGGAAAAATAGATAGCAATCGTAATTAATCCCTGTTCCAAACGGAAAACCCAAACTCGAAAATCTGATTGAAAATATGATTAATTAGGCTATAAAGCTAATTTTAGCAGTCAATATATACATATGGTTGTAGTATGGAAAGAAACTATATGTCACGCATATTAGGTGATATAGTCTGGAACGGACACCGGAGATAAAAAATAAAAAAGTTAGTTCTTTAGAATGTGGTTTATGATACTGGATGAGGAAGGAGGTGGATTGTGAGGACGGTTGATGCTCTGTTTTATGCACAGTTAATCCGTTGTCCTGACCAGGGTAACAATAGTTTCTGGACCAACATAACATTGGATTCAAAATACGAATCGCAATCGCCTCGGGTGTGGTTAAAAGGCACCTTCTTGTTCCCTTGGCACACATCCGGGATATAGCGTGAATAATTTCAATGCATCCAACTCGTTCACAGAATGTCCGCTATCGACGAGATGACCAATAGCTGAGCTACGAATGCATCTAACCGTTTCTCTATAGAGAACAGCAGGACAATGCTCGGCAATACGTTTTGATAAGCGCCTGGTCGTATGCCCAATGAATATATCATCTTTACTAGGTAAGCTTTAATTGGACTATTGCTTTTTTGTTGTAAAGTTACATTAGTTCAAATATCTGAGCTGTCTTAGTTATGCTGACTTCAGAAAGTCTTATCACACAACCAACTGCTCCTCACGCCCGTTTTGTATTTCTGCTCGGTAACATCTCCGTTGAATATAGTTACCCAACTCATTCAACCTGGCGTACTGTAGTACTTAGCTCGAGAGTGGGGATGCGTTGACTAGGAGTTTATGGTCGTCGCAACAGCGGACTGATTAGGTCAAAGTAATGCTTCAAACTGATGCATGACCGGATATTTAGGACCTTTTCTTTGTACCTTCTCAGCGAGTTCATAAAGGGTAAGGTAGTTCTGCTATCACAGACAAACGGGGCTTTCCTGGGGCGAAACAATTCAAAATTAGGTTTAAATGTTTCAATAAGCAGACTAACCTATTTAAAAAGGAATCAAATCAAGACTGAACAATTACAACCGAACGGTTGAGAAAAGAAATACGGTTGGGTGAAAGGTTTCGTAGATGAAATTTTATCTAAAAGGAATGTACAAATGTTTGATAAGCAGTGCGAGAGTATATCTGTGGTCTAACAATAAGAATACAATGGTCACTGGTAGAAACCGGGGTCATTAGTTTGAGAGAATAAGCTAGGATGGTTTGTGACCACTCTGTCCCCCACAGAACTACCTATGGTAGGAGAATGTGAAAGGCCAGACAGACAAAGCGGAAGCAGGGAAGAAATGCTTGCATGATTCAAAGCATCAACAAGTAAGTAAAGATATTCATCTAATAATGAAGCTAGCAAAGAGATACAGGTATCGTTTATGAGCCACGGAATTCCGAAAAACCGTTCCAATCGTGCGCTGGTGACCCCCTCTGAATTTATACTAAACCAGGATAAGCAAGAACCAGAGTAATCAGAGGTATTCAAAATCTATGCCATGCTCTTTTTCTGGGTTAATGGTTTACAGAATCCATATTTCTGCAGTTTTTCGTTGTTATAGCAATGTGTAACCTTATCCCCAATATCCAATAGGAAGCTAATAATTTTTAACTATGCAGCCTTTTGTGGAGTGCTTAAGAGAAAGATACATTTTCCACCCGACATGCAAAGAACGCTTTTTCACTTGTGAAAGGATAAAATCAAAATGGTGAAACTATCGTCAGTTTTCATGGTTTTCAAGGTGCTACTACTCACTTATGAGTAGTAGTAGGTAACACCCTTGGTGATTTATTTCAACGATAAAAAATCAACAAGACCACCGAGGGCTAATTGCTGCGTCTCAGAGAATAACTGTTTATTGTTACTTTCATTACCTTTTGTGCGGCCAGGAACTGAACTGGTATGTTTCTGATGAGATTTGCCGTGTTATATATGCCAAATTACTGATGTCCCATCTGTTATTCTCAACAAACGACTATCCTCGATCAGCGCCGACTCTTGGAATTATAATACTACTATCTATATTTCATCAATGAATTTACATGTTACCTAATAAAGAACTACCCGCGAGCTGCCTCCCTTGAACTCTGAGTCCTTCGGCGCGTTCCACAGGAACAGAGAGAAATGAGAGTAATCAACTTGACCTGAATGCTTTTTCTGTCTGAAGATTACAAACAAAAAATGACGGGATTACCACCCAGTTTGTTTTGTACCCCTGGGAAAACCTAATTTGAAGAGAGCAACCAAATAATCGTTAAGCTGTAAAGGTAACTGATCAGAACATTTCGTTACCTTCTGTTGCGGAGAATAATTTTGGATGCAAATTGTAAACAAGATTTTCTCCTGTAAGAAGCAATTATTTAAAAAAACTGGAATTTCAATCGGAAATCTATGGGTAGGAGAGTAACGCATTTATCTAACCTATGTATCATCCATCGCCATTTTAACGTTGTTGTTTTCTGTAGATACTCAGATGGAGTAATAAAATATTCGAAAATTACACAACCGGTTCATTTCCATTCGTTTGTAATTTTTAGCATTCGGCGGAGTCATTTTCATTAAGCTACATCATACAACTTTCATTTGAAGAGTTTTCGTGGCCCTATATTGGATTTCGTTTGTTAGTCAAACTGCAGTGCACTTCAACTGCCATATAATTTCATGTGCAAGTCGAAAAACGAGCACTGGACAGCTGGTCTGTTCTTGTCCGGACAGAGGAGAAGTGCGTATGTGTCCTTGTTGGAACTCTAATCGTAGAGTTAGAAGTCGAACCCCTGGTTACTGAGCCAAAGACCGATGATCGAAAGCTGCAACATATGGCTAATGTAACTGGTCTTTTTCTTGAATTCCCTAGAAACCAGAGCTGCCGCGATATGTGGTCTACTTTGAAGCAGCTCTGTGGGTCACGCGACAGATCTTTTCCGGATGTTGAAAAGTTAAACCGTCAATTCGCAAATGCTACGGTACGGAACTCGACGTCATGTTTATTTACATCGACTGAGGAGAACCAATCTGTCACCCCTGTGGAAGTCCTGAAGGTATTCAAGTCCCTTAAATCTAACAGGGTATATGGCTCTGATTAATTGTCCCCTTCCTACTAAAAGAGTGTGCTGAACACCTTGCTTCACCTATTTTCGGATAACCCCAATTCCCAAAAAAGGGTCTTCCAAATATCGACCGATTGCCTGCGCATCAGCATTATTGAAAGTTTTCGAAAGAGTCCTTTTTAACCGGCTGACCCTTTTATCTGTCACCCATGACCCTATTCAGTTTGCTTACAAACATTCGTTTTCCACTCTTGATGCTGTCGATCACATTGTTCACTCCGTTGCATCCTTATGGGATAAAGGAGATGGCATTGTCCATTTTAACTTTTCTTGATTATGCTAATGCTTTCGGATCACTTGACCGCAGCATTCTCATTCAGCGTCTTTCGAATTGTGGTCTTGCACCTAATTTTCTGAATGTACTAATTAACTGCTTCACTCATCGGACGCAATACACTTTTAGTAACGGTAAATCTTCCTCCTTGCCAGAAGTTAACTCTGGGGTTCTTCAGGGTGCAATATTTTCCATTTCTTATTTCAATGTATATTAAGGACCTTCCCATCCCTCCCAACTTCATCGCCGGGAAGTATGCAAATGACGTGGTGGTGGGTTGTCCCTCGACTGTTCCTGATAGCTTCTGTCAATTTTAAGTTTGTCTAAATAACATTTTTAGCTGGTGGACTCCCCGATCTTTAATGCTAAATGTAGATAAATATCTGGATGATGCTATTAGCCTTAAAACAGACATGCTCTCACCAAACCCTTTTGAGTAGCCACCGTGAACTTTCCGTTAATGGAAATACCATCCTCAAAGCTAACTCTGTCACACAATCTTTCTTGGTCCAAACATATTGAAAACATTTATATTAAGGTTCG